GGGGGCGTTGATGAGAAGCTCAACATGAGCTGGCAGTTGCTCACAGCCCAGGAAGCCAATAGTGTGCTGGGCTGCATGAAAAAGTGTGTAGTCAGCAGGTTGAAGGTGATCCTGCCCTTCTACTCTGCTCTCATGCGACCCCACCTGCAGTACTGCATTCAGCTTTGGGGCCCCCAACACAAGAGGGACATGGACCTGCTCCAGCAAGGCCACAGAAAGAAGGCCACAGAGATGATCGAAGGGCTGGAGCACCTCCTGTATGAATACAGGCTGAGACAGTTGGGCTTGTTCAGCCTGGAAAACTGAAAGCCCAGAGGCGATCTTAGGGCAGCTTCCATTACCTAAAGGGCCTACAAGAAACCTGGACAGGGACTTTTCACAAGGGCAGGTAGTGAGAAGATCAGGAGGAATGGCTTTAAACTTAAAAAGGGGAGATTTAGATATTAAGAAAAGATTCTTCACTATGAGGGTGGTGAGACACTGCCACAGGTTGCCCAGAGAAGCTGTGGCTGCCCCATCCCTGGCTGTGTTCAAGGCCAGGCTGGATGGGCCTTTGAGCAACTTGGTTTAGCGGCCAGCACACCCGCTCCATGGCAAGACGGCTGGAACTACATGAGCTTTAAAGTCCCTTCCAACCCGAATCATTCTATGATTCTGTGATTTTATGCTTCTGTTCAAGTCTTTAGATTTAAGTCTCCATTTCAGTTTGGATGTAAGGCACAGCCTGAAGCTGGCCCAAAACTAGAAGACTAATCCACACCTCACATCCTGCACAGAAGCCTCGGCCCAAAGCATCTTATGACCAAATGCAAGAAACCTGGCCAAACCCTGTGACGAAGGAATGGCCGACAGGCTCGGCGAGGCAGCCTGGGCAGCGGGAGCCATGGCGGCCGCACGGTGCGCTCACACAAGCACGGCACAGAGGACCATCCGGGTAGCACAGCCCCGTCTGGTTATGACAGACTCCCGTAACCACCCACCTGACCCCGCATTCCCCCCGAAAAACCCCTGACCCGCACCAGGCCCGCCGCGACCTCCCACCAGGCAGCGCGCATGCGTCACTAGCCGCGCAGGCGCCTTTGCTGTTAGGGGGCAGGGTCTGAAGCTGGTACCCCGCTCCGTGTTTAATGGGAGTGGGGCAGACGAGCCCCTGGAGCCGGCAGGGTCGGTAGGCGAAGCGAGGCAATGCGAGGTATGGGATGCGATGCGAGGCGAGGAGGGGCGGCGGGAAGCGGCTGTGCTGGCTGAGCGGGTGGGCCCGGCGCCGGCGTCGCCGCTAGTGCAGGCTCTTGGGGAGGGCACTGAACTGCCGCCGTGCCTCGGCGGTGAGGGTCCGCGGCCTTCTCGTCTTCGGGGCCCCTCTTCGGTGACGGCCGCGATGTGGCCATACTGGGTCAGGCCGCGAGGCCCGCAGGGGATGTCACCGGGGCGGGCACACCGGCCCGGCGTCAGGCCAGCAGAGAAATAACAACTACTGCCGTTACTGAGTTGGGGGAGAGGGGACGTGTGTGTTTTTTGGGGGTTGGTTTGGGGGATTTTGTTTGGTTGGATTTTAATTTATTTTCTTTAAACCTGGTTATATTGGGGGGTTTTGAATTGTTGCACCTGTGACGCACAAGCGGTGGGAGGGGTGTTTGCTGGTTTGGTAGGAATACCGGTTTGAAGTGGGCGTCCTGAACAATGAGCAAAAGTCAGTTAATGGAGGTAATGTGATCTCAGTGCTCCTAGTGATTATTTTCTGTTATTTGCCATAGCTTACCTTGTCGTAATTACTTCTGATAAGGTGGTATAGACAGGATCTGAAAAGGTGATGCAGTGACAACTTTTAATAACCAGGACACACCCCCGGTCTGCCAGTGGTGTTAGTAATGTTTGGTATTCTTAGCAGTAGGATGCTCTATTAGATTTAAGTGGCAAAGCCATGACAGTGTGAGGGCTGTAGGTGTGGGCTGGCTTCTGTGAAAGCATGCCAGAAGTTTCTCCCATGTTGGATGGAACTAGGGCCAGCTGGCTCCAAGACAGACCCACTTCTGTCCAAAGCCAAGCATATCATTGAGCTTGGTAGAGCACCAAGATCAGTGCAGAAGAAGGGGGAGGAGGTGCTCCAGGTGCTTATGCAGAGATTCCACTGAAGCCCATGGAGAGCCGTAGTGAAGCAGGTATCTACCTGCAGCCTGTGGAGGACTCCTCACTACAGCAGGCTACTGTTTGGGGCGGGCTTCTGCCAGGCTCAGTGGAGAGAGGACTCCACACTGCAGCAGGCTCTGGGCAAAATGTGTGGCTTCACAGAGAGAGGAGCCCATGCTGGAGCAGGTTTGCTGCAATATCTGTGACCCTGCGGGGGACCCACACTGGAGCAGCCTGTTCCTGAAGGACTGCAGCCATGGAAGGGACTCCCACTGCAGCAGTTGATGAAGGACTGCAGTCCATGGGAAGGACCGACACTGGAGAAGTTTGTGAGGGATTGGCTCCTGTGGGAGGGACCCCTTGCTGGAACAGAGAAAGGGCATAACCACAGACCTCATTCCCTGTTCCCATGCTCTGCCTGGGGGGAAATTAGGAGTGAGTGAAATTGACCACAGGAGGAAGGAAGAGTAGGGGGAAGGTGTTTTTAGGTTTATTCTTATTTCTCATCACCCTACTGTAATTTGATTGGTGATAAACTAAATTAATTTCCTGGAGTTGAGTCTGTTTTGCCCATGATGGTAATTGGTGTGATCTCTCTCTGTCCTTACCTTGACCCATAAGCCTGCCTTTATATTTTCTCCTCTTGTCCAGTTTCCAGCTGAGGAGGGGTAGTAATAGAGTGGCTTGGAGTGTACCTGGTAGCCAGCCAGGTTCAACCCACCACAGATGCTTACCATTCACACTGAATATGTTGGGAAAGCAAGAGTCTCTTTCCTGTACCTTGTCTTTTTAAAATGTATCTTTTGTGCACACATCTGTGTGTGTGTGTTGGGTTTTTGTCTGAGGCAGGTGTTTTTTATCTGTGTGGTTGATGGTGTAGAGTACCACTTCAGCAATGAGAATAGGAAAAATAAAGTTTAGGACAGACAAATAAAAAAGATCTCTGGAGGAGTGAGGTGTAATTAGTTATAGCTAGGTAGGCTGTTGACATACATAGGATAAGTTTGGGGATGTTTAGTAGCCAGCGTATGCTTGCTGAGACCAGTGATTTTGGCAGGGCCCTTTGCAGTATGTTAGGAGAGGACTACTATAAGAATTTGCAAGATAATTACTCCCTTTCATAGTATCCCTGTACTGTTTTTTATTTCTGGAGGCAGCAAAATGAGGAGCTGCTTGCATGGAGTTTATTTTGGAGATGGATAGATCTGTGTCAGAGTGATGCTGCTTCCTTTGCAAAGGTTTTATTTTGTATAATGCTAATAATACTGTCAGCTGCAACCTGGAAATAAATTACACAATGCTAGAAATTGTTCATCATAGAATCATACCATGATATGGATTGGAAGGGACCTTAAAGATCATCTAGTTCCAACCCCACAGACAGGCAGGGACACTTTCCACTAGATCAGGTATCTCAAGGTTAAAAAAGATTCTGCTAAGTGTTTTTTTTGAGACAGAATGCTGTCCCAAGTGTTGTAAGCTATGGTAGAGCTTACCAGTTGTTTTCAAGGCTGTTGTTGATGGGCTGTAAAGACTCTACCAGCTCTCACGAGCCTGCCGCTCCTTGTTTTTCTGTAATAAAAGACAGTTTAAGAGTAGGAAACATTATTTTGCCGTTGCTTTTCCAGTTCTTCGGATTGTGTGAAAATTGTGCCATTCCTGGGAAAGAGGAAAAGGACTGCAAGAAGTACTGATGCTTGCACTTTTGTAGAGAAGGGGCTTGGCATATTGACGAGAGTGTGCAATAACCACGGTTTCTAAAAGTAACAAAACAGTTGTTCAGAACCTTACGTTTTTGATTATTGGAAAGTGGTCTCCAAATTAACGTTAACTATCTAAACTGAAGAAGGGGGGGAAATTCCTCACCTTTTTGTTTTTGTTTCTTTTCACAGTGTCTTAGATCTTAACCTAATCTTGATAGCTTTCATATCTCCAGTGCCAAAAAAACGACACCGGGTTAAGAAGGTTTTGTGTTGTGGGATTATTTTTTTTTTTAAACTATCTCCATCTTTAGGGAGCGCTTAGGTTCCATTTCATAAATCCTATTTGGAATCTTCTGAAATTATTTTGACTGTCTTTTGGCTTAGCAGATACTACAACAGCAGCTGTACTTCTCTTAAACATGTTCTTCCTGTCTTTGTCTTATTCTTGTCATAAGTCTGAGTGCTCAAATAATTGTATGATGTTTCCATGTAGGTTGCTATTGGGAAGACTGGAAATGACACTTTGAGAAGTGGGATATAAATTAATAAATAGCATCATGGGGAGGTGTGCCAGCTCAAGAATGCATTTAGCAATTTATAGCTGTTTTCTGATTCAAATCTTGAACTGCAAAGTTCAGATGACTCCAGCTGGCAATGTGAAAGTGTATCTCTTTAAAGCTTTCAAAGAACATTAGCCACCACCCTTTGACTGGGTACTACTTTTTTAAAGCCTTTCTTTTGGTGATTTTAAATTTGCTGAATGTGTTCTGTGAACTTTCTACCTCTTCTTGAAAGAGTGAAATAGTAGTCTGCTAACACTGCCAGTAGTCATCTTCCATGACCTGTTTCTTTGCGGGGCAAAGTCAGCAGAGAGAAAAGTAAGCATTCCAAATAATTTATAGTGTTATGAAAGACTTGGTTTTGCACAGATGAATGACTATGAAATCATATGCATAGATAAGCAGAACTGTGAAACAGCATTTAATGTTTGTATTTTACTAGTGTGAAATAATAGCCTTTAATATTGTAGTTACAAAGAGATACTCTATTAAGTATGTATTTGAGATAAAAAACTCTCTGCTCTTTGTACCTGTCAAAAAAAAAAGTGTGGAAAATACATGGCAAAACAATGCATTAAAGGTAAGCTTTCTTCTCCTTTTTTTTTTTTTTTTCCCTCTTCACAATACTTGAGGTTCCTGTGTGTTTGTGGGTGCCTGCATATTCCAGATTAGAAGGTTTTTCGTCAAGTGTTCCAGCTACAATTACAACTTACAGTCTCCCAGGTGGAAGTTTTGTTTGTTTTACTTCTGGGTTTGCATGAAATAATTGAAAAATTTGTGGAGAATCTTGCATTTTAGAAATGTTTTAGAAACTGTGAACACTCTGAGCTGTCCAGTTTTCAAGGCAATGAGATATTCCTAAAAGGCTCTCGAGTAAATGCCTTCAAACTACACATATGCTATGCAGTAAGGAGCTTTATTTTGCTCCAGCTACAAGAAATGTAGGTCACCCAGTCTTTGTGCAAGACCAGTGAGTATTCAGCATTTCATGGGTTAAAGCCCATAAAGCAAGGTGATATGGTAGACTTAGGAGGGGGAAGAAAACTTTTTAAAGTTTGTATCTGCTGTTAAGTATAAGATAAATCTCATGGTTTTTTTTTTTTTTTTTTTTTTTTTTTTTTGTGGCAAGTAGCGTACTTTCTTTCCTAGTCCTAAGTATATTTTAAAATTTCTTTTACAGAGTGAGAGGTGGCGTCATATGACAGAGCCAAAATGCTGGATGACATTAAGAAGCGGTTTGAATTTCCTAATGCAGTTATTCAATCACAGGTAATTTTTTTTTAAAAAAACATTAAGCAAATTGAATTGTCTATGGAAACTTTTGTTCCAAGGCCTGCTGCCTGCCTGTAAAAAGGGGAAAAAGATGTTGGGGATGGTGAGGGGTTTGCTCCAAAGGCAAAAAGCCCTAGAAGTAGAGTATTCTTAAGTTATAAACAAATACTAATTGCCTTCTCTATGTAATCCAGACATTGGACATAGTTACTCATCACTGTAACGTCTCTGCAAGCAAATCAGAAACTTTCCATGACTGGAAGGTTTAAGTGGAGCAAATGGTTTTTAGTGACCCTGTGATCTTGAGAGAATTCAGGAGTTACCAGATACCATGTGTGAGGTTAAAATACTTGACAATACTTTACAGAACTGTCTTTAGAACTGATCTGCTTGCTTCCTGTGTGGTGAGAGCTGATGGACTACTGTAGTCTTATCTGACATCAAAGAATGACTGTTTACCTCCACTGTGATCAGCAGACCAAACATTTTCAGAGCCATGCATTGCCTCCTGGTCATAATCACCTGAAATTTTCTCATGTGCATGAAGTGTTTACCATAGCATTTTTAATGGACTCTAAGAAAAAAACAGACCGTTTAAAAAAATACACCTTCTTTGCTTTGGCCATGTCTCATTTCAGTATTAGAAATGTATCTCTTTGCTGTAAGCTCACTGGTAACTTCCCTGTTTTCTTCCTTTTCCTGTTTTGAATTCAGGATTAAATAAGTAGCCATTTGTTTGACAGAATAAGTTGATGTGCAACCCGGTGTTTCTGTTGCCTTTTCAATTCAGCTCAGTCTACAGTTGTTTACAGTAGTTAAGTTTGAAAGACAGAGAAGTCCTCTTGTGATCAGTTTGGCATTTAGGAGAGGGAGTCACGTCTCTGTTAGGATTCATGTAAGGTCTAGTGAAGTGTATTGTACTGGTTATGAGTTCACATCACTACTAGCCTTGAAGCATAGGATTTTGCACCTTTAAACCATTATTTTTCTTCAGTGCGGAAAAATATCACCCTGGTACAAGTACTGCTGAAGTGTCTTGGTTCATCATAACAGCTGCACATCATTAAGGGCTACCAGATCATTTTGGTTGATTTTGTGCCGTGCTTCAGTTGTTTTGCTAGTTTCCATTTATATTCTATGACCCTTGAAAAGCGTGCTGTAATCTTCAAATTGTCATCGGGCCAGGATCCAACTTCATGGCAGATGTCTTCTCTTTTTGAGATCAAGACATCTGCTCTCCAGAGCACTTAATCTACACAGCCAAGGATCAGCAAAGTGAGGAACTTGAGCATAATTTGCAGGTCAAAAAAATTTACCATTCTATTCAAAATCAAGTTTTTGGAGTGCATTGGACTAATTTACATTTTGACTTTCCTGTATAGCTCACTGCAAAAGCCACCGTATTGATAAGCCCCTTTTCCAGTATAATGAGAATGTTTTAAGAATGTGGGTGTGAATTAATTTCTGAATGTCCTTACAAGCAGGAAAAATTAAAAATAGAAGATCCACTTTGTAAGTGACCTAAAAAGTTCTAATCTGCCTGGGGAGCATGTTGCTGTTGTTGGTTTTGCAATGGGATGACTGCAGAGAAACAGATGCACATATCTGACTTTGTCCCATTTTCTAATTTTGTTCTCAGAATAGTAAAATTCCCAAATAAAAACCAGTCTTCAGAAGTCAAAAGTGTTAAAATACTTATCCAGACCTTTGAAAGGCATAATCTTTATAATTGAGGAAGGTTTAAAGTGTCATCTTTCCTGGAAATGAGAACTGTTATCTCAAGAGTGCTATTGTTTGTTATGTCAGCTTAGCAACTAGTATCTAAATGAAGTGTAAATAAATCCTGAAAGGAGAAGGAATGTGAAAACATTTAAAATAATGTGTTCCTGTCTTTTTATGCACTAAAAAACCAGGAATGTCCCTATTACTTTTTTTTCTGGCTGACTTCCTAGTTTACTTTTTCCAAAAGTAAGCATCTGTCCTTACCATAGAGTAAATGCAGCTGCTGTTCTGGGTACAGTGATAATCTGAAACATTTTTGTCCTCTTACTGCAAAAAGATGTATTTGTCTCTCACATACGGGATTTTCTGTGTATCAGTATCGATGATTAAGAAATGAGACAGAGTAAGGCATTAAGAGATGAGTCAGGACACAAATGCCTGGATTCAGACACCTTGAACCCTTTCAGAGTATTCCAGTATTTAGATTTTTAAAAACAGTTTGAGGACATCATATGTTCCTTTTATCAAAATGGGATGAAATGCTTACTCTTAAACTTCAGATGAACAAATATATGCTCTTCTGATAACCATTTTTTTTTTTTTTTAGGACCTTGAAAATTTAGATCTTGTTAATGATCTCTACCACGGAATAGCTTTATGAGGAATATTGTTAACTTCAGATGCCTTGTTTAAAGTAAATAAAGCATTTCTGACAGTAGATATGCTAGGGGATATGTAAACTGCCTAAGTGAAATGATTGTATGCAGCAACAGTGTAAATTCTTCCTATTTGAGAATTAAAAAATAATGCTTGGTCTGCGTGTGTTCTTTTTATTTCTTTTTCTCTTTTAGGCAGTGGGTCATCTGATTGCTGCAGTACTGAAAGAAAATGTTTCTTCAGAGAAAATCAGGCAGGCGTCTGACCAGGTCTGTGAAATTCTTTCACTTCTGTCTCCTCTCCTATCCATATGTACTTACATTTTTTTCTATGTTTTCTGATTCACTACTGTGGAATAAATCCTAGAAGTTAACTTAGGTAGTTAGCAATATGTGTCTAGGTGGACAGATAGAAATAGCATATCTCTGGGATCAGAAGAGCAGTTTCACTTCCATCAGAAGTCTTAATGGCAGAAGTCTCAGTTCTGCAGAATACCAACACCTATCTCTGCCCAGTTTAAGAGAGTTCTGTTTGCATTTATTTACATTACTACAAGTGAAGTGCCATATGGTGAGCCATTATCACTTAAGTAGGAAAGTGTTTTACATCACTATAAAAATTTCAAAATTATGGCATTTCACATACCTGTATTGGTGTTATTTTTAGCATTAGCTAAGGAGAGCTTGTATCTCTTTAAGAGAAAGCATAGTGCAAAGGCATACTTTGGGTTTTAGATGAGCCAAGCTTGCCCAAGTGCTGGTCTGTCTTGTTAACTGAGATACATATGTAGTACTGGCATTTGGAAGTGTCACAGCAACATAGGAGAAGTGTTAGTTAGGATTTGTTCTTCTATTTTTCCTCACCAAATGCTAACTTGTACAGAAAGGAGCAGAAGATTATTTGTGGATTTTTCCTCCCAGTATGAAGCCTTGAAAAAAAAAAAAAAAAATCCCCAAACTAGCAAACCCAAACCTGAAAAGTGTTGAGTTGTGATGTGAGGGAATGGGGAGAGGGTGTGTAGTTTCTGTAACAGAAACTACTTTAACAGTCCAGGATTATGTTCCCAAATGACATTCTGTTTTGAGGTACAAGCTGACTCTTCCTGTTATGCTGCCCCATAAAGGTTTTAAGCTGAAATACAGCAAAACCTTCTGAAACATTAAGAAGTAGAATATTGTGCTGCTTAGACATTAGTTACTCTTTTTAGACAGGAGTATTTTGCATTGTTCAGTTACTTCAAAATGTCCCTTGCTTCCCCGTTTGGAAGCTACGAACTCAGCAAAAGAACCTGTGAATACATATTTAGTATAAGAACTAAAGCAACAGTTTTAACGGATACAGCCAAATCTTTGTGCTTACTAACAAATGAAGAGAACTTCGTATCATGAGTAAAGACAACTTACCTTTGGATAGCCCCTTGTGTGCCTGCCTGTAGCTGTCTGCAATATGTCTTGCTGTAGACAGAGCTGACGTAGCAGTTGCTGAGTTGTTTCCAATTACATCTTGATTTTTTTTTTTTTAAAGACAGTGAAATTGTTGAAAAATATGTTTGCCTCACCCTTTTCTGAGAGACTCCTGTCCCTATTTATGATGCAGGCAGGAGGAGGCAGGAAAGTGGGAGCTGTCCTGGGAAAACCTTTCTTGGGTGTAGAGCATGTACCCCAGCTTCCTCACTTGTGCTAAGACTTCAATTTTTATTTAAAAGTGTGTTTAAGATGAGTGAAAAAAAAAAAAAATCAGTGTCAGCTTTCTCATTGCATTTGTTTCCTGCTTTTGCCTTCAGACCCCTGCTCTGAACTTACTTTGGGAGAACTGCTGCAGTGAGAACGTTGCCTTGCGAACAGCCTGCTCTGAGGGGTTGGTGGCACTTGTTGCAGAGAAACATGCTGAGCTAGACTATGTTCTTCATGGAGCTCTCAACCTAATTCCCTCAGCAAGGTGATGTTTGGTTGCCTAATCTTGTGTCTTTTGTCAGCTGGTTGTCAATTGTTGCTATTCCCTTGTAAATACAGGGGAAGAGGAAAGGTTCTGTGAATTACAGGGTCTTCAGATAAGCTATGGTATTAAAGGACTGTCCTTGGGCTGTCACTCTGATGAAGGCTGTTGCTTTCATCTTGGCAGTTTGTCATTGTGGGTCTGACTTAAAAACTTGTAGAGTATCCTATGTGTGTTGGCTGAAATTGTTAGCTGTTCAGACTGATGCTCTGAACTTAGACCTGTTGCTCACACTGATTCAGAGAAAACTCCAGGAACAAACTTGCCAACAAACTTTTCAAGTTGACAAGCAGGTATTCCTTATTGCGGCGCTGGGAGACATGGGGGATAACTCCTCCTAACGTGTGTCCCCCAGTTGCCACACAAGCCATCTTTTTATAGGCACTGGGCATACGTACATATTCATGAGGCTACGTATGGATTACATCATTTTCCAGAAAGTTCTCCGCATGCATACAGAATTGTGGTGGTGGTCTCTGAGGGTCGTTTACTTCTTCCAACAATCTTTGTCACTTCTGGTAGCCTTTGAAGCACGTGCAGTAGATGCTCATACCAGTTTAATTGGTTTGTTAACACCAGAGACATAATAATCCTCCCATCCTTCTACTTATCAGTTAGTTTAACTGTAGCCCATCCTGGACACCTGCGGTTCCCAGATACCCCTTATCCTTGTGTCCTGTTCTTCTAGACTGTTTTTCTTAAAACTATGTCAACTATAATGTTTATCTTGTGAGAATTCTCAGTATGTTCTCTAGCTGTACTGTATTTTTTTTCTCTATCATGCACCTCAGTAATTTTCCATTGCTACTGTTACAAAGCCATCAAACTTAACATTACTTAAAACTAATTCTAAATGTTTCTATATTCCATTTTGTGATTTTGTGCCCCCTTGTCTCGACATACAGTCACCGTAAGTCTGTGGGTGAGGATAAGGAATGCTATATTTTATTTCCCTGTCTGCTGAGGAAGAAATCACTTTATGTAGCTCTGCAAAATTCTGTAAATGTCTGCATCTCACAATGGTGTTCTGAGCTAGTCTGGCCTGTGCAACATACTGAAAGAATGCAGTTGTGGGGGAAAAAAGACACTGCATGTAAAATTTAAAATGGGAAGTCAAGTGATGCTTGGGAAGATGTTTCCATTCAGATATACCAATCTTACAGAGTTCCTTGGGGTTATCTTTGTCTCCTCTGATTTTTGGCAGCTGACTGAATTTCTGCACTAAGCTTTCTCATTCACTTCCTACAGAATGCTGGAGTCGGTTTTAGCCAAGCCAGCTAGTCGGTGGTACACTTGTGATATATTGTTCTGATGGGCTCAACAGCTGGTTGCAAGAACGATGTTGTTCAAGACATGTTTTTCAGCTCTTCTAACCCTCACATCATCAGTTTTAGTCTGGGATTTCTAATGGTCACTCTGAGCCAGAGGTGAGGTTAGGTTTGAGTAAACTAGTGAAATGCTTAAGAAAGAAGATTTTTTTTTTTTTTAAAGATTGCTTCTTTTCTTGTGACTTGATTGCTTACAGCTAGGATCTTGCTGTTAAGATACTGTCTCTATACTTAGTTTTCAGTAGGTGGTTATGGATCCTAGGAAAGGGTTTGTAAATATATTTATATAAAATGAATAATTTCTGCAAAGTGCTGTCCTCCAAATTAGAAAATTTTACTAGTTCAGTTTGCAGTTGAAAGAAGAATTGCCATTGTTAACAAAGAAATAAAAGCACCTGTGCTCAGACTATGGAAACCTGAGTCCTGTGGGGTAAAGTGGAGGGAAGGTTTATTAGCTGTGGCTTGCAGACTAAGAAATTTGAAATTCCTGTTCAGCTAAGGGTTTGTTACAGCATTAGTGCTTTATAAGGAAATGAAATGCTAATACAGTTTTGTACTTGAGAAAATAAAGGGTGTAAAATGGGATATTAAGGATTGAGTTAACCTTAAAAACAGAATCGAGGTTATGTGGAATGGGCTTGGGTATGTGGCATTTCTATATCATTCTTAGAGTTTTTCCATATGTGAAACCAACACACATCACTGATTGCTTAGTACATGCTGTTAAATTAACCAGGAACATTTTACGAGTTTTCAGCTTCTTTCTGCTGCCGTCCCAGTCCCAAGCTGCTATGGATGTCTGTGGGTTTAAACTGTCTGTAGACTCAGGAGCTGACTAAACCTCAGATTAGTTCATTTCGGTGCTGGTACTGGGTTTTTTTTGTATTGACTTACAGAACTATAGCCTGCTGTTCTTCATTCTGTTCCCCCTGCCAGATTTTCATCCAGGTTTGCTCTGTGGCTTTGCAGTACTGTGTGCACAGTGTCTGTAAAAATAAATACGAAATTAGCAGCCAGTGGACAGGCATTTGCAACTGCTGAGCATCTTTCAGTGCTGAATGGAGATAGGTTAATGTTTTATTAGCAAAGACCATTCATGTTGTGTTCTTGCTTCTCTTCCATTATGGTGAATTTAGCAGGGATTTAGTGCACCTGGTGGGTTTTGTTTTGTCCCGTGTATCAAATTCTGTGTACTAGGGAAGACAATTTGCTTTGATAGACAGTGCTTATCTGAGTTGACTTCTTATAAGATTAATGTTATCTGTTCATTGTACAAATGGGACTCTATTCTTACCTCTCTGGTACATAGTTGTGCCATAACTCTCAGACCCAATGTTCAGTTTCCTTTGTTGCCTCAACAGTTTAAACTTCATGGAACATAGTATTTATATGTGTGTTTGTGTGTGTATGCATGTATACAAAATATGGATAAACGTGTAAAAATACACACATTTTTACACATTTTTAAGATTGGTCTCCAGCTTTCTATGTAGAAGATGATGGGAAAACTCTGTGGTCAAGAAAGAATGAGCGTAAGCAATTAAACCGATCTGTTAAAAACTGGGAAACAATGGATTATGGTAATCTCTAAAATTGTCAGGATTTCTTATACACCCTAAATGTGTGTATATCAGCTCTTAACTTAGGAATTGTAGAGTATACTGCACTGTATGTCAGACAGCTAATAATATATTTGTTTTCTCGTGTTTTAAATGAGTATGATGGTTGGTTTGTCCTGTGAGAGGGATTACATAATTTCTGCATAGTTTCTTGTTTACAGCTTGTCATCTGAGAAGTTCTGCAGTGTTCCATTCATTGATGGAGAATTGGAATTGCAGACAAAATAGATTTCTCAGATTTTTTTCCTGGCAGGAAGAAAGGAAGGGGGAGCAGGGAAAAGGGAAAAAAAAAACCCCAACCAACCAACGAACCAAATAACTAAACAAAAAAAAGGCAAAACCCCCAAAACAAACAAAGCCCCACCAACCCCACCCCCCCAAAAAAAAACCCACCAAAAAAAAAAAAAAATCCACAAAAAAGCCAAAGACCCCAAAGCAAAAAAAACCCCAGCACCCAATTCTCCTTTTCCTTCCTTACCGTGCACTGTGTGAGAGAAGTAACATTTTGTTGCACGACTATTTCTTATAATTGTATCTTTCTGTTTGTTATGTGAATAAAGTGAGGAGTAACTATGGTTTATTTTTAGTAGTATACTGTCTAACTGATATTTAAGGGGTGATGATACAATTGTATAACATGTTCTAGATGAAAAGTCAAAGCATTGACCATGACTTTTTCTATTTCTCTGCTTCTGTATTTTCACCTTGCGAAAAGTGTGTTTCATTATAGAATCGAGGCTATTTTCTTGAGGGACTTGTTTTGGATCTGGCATGGTCCGATTGGAAAGGTGTGAAAAAACACTTTATGAAGAAGAGAGCAAAATTTTTATAGTTATACTTTTGGCCTTGTAAGTTCAGCCAAGCAGTAGTAAGCTGTATACTTAAGCTTTTTACTTCATGGTCACAGAGGCCATCCTTTTGTGGTGGACTTCATTGATTTCATTAGTGTCTCTCCAGCAGAATAGGGAAATTCCTATCAAAATTTCAGAAATACTGTTGGCTCTTAAATTTTCCTGAATGTTCAATTAAACAAGAGAGGAGGAGGAGGAAGATAAAGTAGCTGTATGTATTTCTTTTTTATAGCCCTTGGCTCCTGAGATCAAAAGTCAGCACAAACTAGGTGTCTCAAGTGTCTTTTTTGACAGTGTGATTTATCTTGCTTTTGCTTGCTAGACAGGTGGAAATTTGTGATGTTTACCTATATACTTGCATTCAGAGAAGTTTTTAGCATGTTAAAAGCACCAGTTTCAGTTAAGCTGGAGACAGCTAATATAGTTGTAAGATATGGTAGAATCAAACCATCAAAAGTTTTAATTGATGCATTAATTGTGATGATCTCTGTTGTGTTGCTGGTTACGTGAAAAGGAGAACAGACATACGGATTTACAACTTGTGTAGGCAAATGTGAAGAAGTCCTTAAGGAGAACTGTAGGATTCCGGCGTGTCAATATTCTTCCTGGATTCCTTCTTCTATGGAAGAATCAGCTAATGTAACTATATGTGACGGTCATGTATTTCTCTTTATCAACAGGAACGTACATGGTTTAGTAAAAACTATTTTGAAATTACTACAAATTCAAGCCATTCAACTGGGAGAACATGGAAATGAGGCTGTCTGGAATCTTTATGGCATCAGGTTAGTTTATGTTGGTTTTATTTAGATACTTTAATTTTTTTTTTTTTTCTGATTTTTCACTGTCTTTTTGTCTGTGTTTTTTTTTGTTTTGTGGTTTTAGTTGTTTGGGGTTTTTTTGGCTGGTTGGTTTGTTTTTGTTTGGTTGGTTTCTTTTTGGTTTTATTCTGTTCAGGTAGGTAAGCACTGCGCAGGTTGCCTGCAGAGACTGTGGAATCTCAATCCTTGGAGATACTGAAACCTGATTGCATGTGATCTTGGGCCAGCCTAAATGATTCTTCAGTGGTGACCCTTCCAAACTAAATGATTTTCTGATTCTAAGACCTATTTTTGTTGTTGCTGTTGTTGTTGTTGAAAGTTTCAAGGAGTTTTTATAGTACAGGGGTAAGATTGCCACCATAAGCTCAAAAGGGGCAATGGTAACATGAAGGCTGAGCGTGAGAAGGAACAAATAAATACTGTTACTTGTTCACGTATAGTAGCTCAATGATTGCTAGTGCCCTTTTTTAATAAGTCTTAAGACTGTGGGCGTCTTCCCTCTCACTTGTTTTTCCTGCTTTATTCTAGTTATCAAATAAGGTTCCTAAATGCTTTTACTGTTAAGGTGGTTGCCATATAAAATAAATGACTTAAAGATGCATTCAGAGCTCTCGCATAAAGCTGCTTGTCAGGTGGTAGCAGCCTTCGTAAGGGGACATCTTGGTGACTTCATCTAGCTCTTGAAAAACCAGAAGTCAGTGTTGACATTAACAGCCATTGTTATATCTACTTAGCAGATGTCATGATCATTTTTCAAGTTTCTACTTATGCAGTTAAGAGGTATCATTGTAGCAGGCTGTAGCTCTAATGCTTTAAGGGTGTAAAAGGCACTATTTGGAAGACAGGAATCGTGTTTTAAGCAAAACGAAATAATGAATTAAAATGAAACAGACTGTGGAGCACTTGATCTGCTTGCATTCCTGGAATTCTGTGTGCCTTGGTTTTTCTAGCTATGTCAGTTCTTTCTACAAATTCTACTGTCCTATAGAACAGGTGTAACTGAAAAGGCAAGTAGTGAAGGGCGGGTAGTAAGGTGGAAACCTCTTGGAAACTTTATCTTTAATAGTAAATAAACTCATTTAAAGTCTTGTGGTAGAAGAGGTTAAGTTCAAGTAATCCAGGCTCTGTGTGGAAAAGAGGGTAGTAGGATGTGGCTGAAGTGAAGAAATGGCCACTCCCCAGTAGGGTGAAGAAATGTTACTACTTTTTGGTTTGTTTTTCCCCAGCTACCAAAAGAAAAATTGCTGGAAACATAAGGCAGGTGAAACTTGGTCATCCAGAATAGTTTAAAATAATAGAAAACTGAAAATAAGCAGCAGACTAACTCTTAGCCAGTACATTTTTGTTTTTCCTTTTGTTTCCGAAGTCAGATTTCTTGGCTTGATTCTGAATATCTAGGAGGTCAATGCCATGTGATTTTGAGATCAGACTGTTGTTTTTTAGTGTACACAAAGGTCTATCTTTATTCAGTGACTTGTTATGTAACAATTTTTGTGGTTGTGTTCTATCAAGTGCCATTAAAACTTGATTTCTGGAAGAAATAAAAGAATGTATGCCATAACTCACCAACAGTAACCTCCTCTTGAAGTGTTAAGATACTATGCTATCAACTATGCAGAAGTATTCCATACAAAAATCATCAATGAAGAATCAAAAAGCACCAGTGTGTTCTCAGGTAGTTTTCTATTGTGATCTCTGTTGGGACGTTTTAAAACTAGTGCTACAGGATAATAAATAAATAAGTTTGGTTTAGACTAATGTTGATTTTGGACAGTAGAATTACTTTTAAAATGCTGCCTGTTGATACAATGTGGTATCATGAACAGTTCCTGAAAAGAAATAAGAGAAAATGTCTGTAGTTTTGTGGGTGGGGGGATTGGTTAAGTTAGCTTTTTCCATAGCAACCGTCATAGTGCTGAGCTTTGTATTTGCAGCTAGAATAGTGTTGATAATATACCAGTACTTTGGTTTCTACTGAGCAGTGCTGTTTTTGCAGCCCAACCCCACCCCTTCAAAGGGGTACCCGTAAGGTGGAAGTATGCAAGACTTTGGGAGGGGACATAGCCGGGACAGCTGACCCAAAGGGGTATTCTATAGCATAGAACATAGTGCTCAGCAATAAAAGCTAAGGGAAGGAAGTTGAGGATATGGGGGGCATTCATTATTAAGATGTTGTTAAGACATGTACTGAATGAAGCCCTACTACATATCCCAGGAAGTGGCAGGGCATTGCCTGCTGATGGGAAATAGAGAGTAAATCCTTTTGTTTGACTTTGCGTTCATGTGGGGTCTTTGCTTTTTCTTAATTAATCTGCCTATATCTCAACCTACAAGTTTTTCATACTTTCTTCCCATTGTGCTGAGGAGAGGGAGTGGGGGAGCAATTTGGTGGGCACCTGTAGACAGACAAAGTCAACCCACCAGGTAGGTTTTCCAGTTTCATCTGGGGAAGCCTCTTTAGTTCTAATCCTGAGATTCTTCACTTTCTGCAAGCAAATTAACCATGGAAAACAGGGAATTGATTACCACTGTTAACTGCAGGAAGTGTGAAATACTCCTTTTACCCATGTAAGTCAGTAGAAAACTGCCTCTCCTATCGCTGAATGTTGGGATTCCTAATTGTTTCCATAAGCTGTGTAAATGCAGCTGGTTGTTTCATTGGGTTTTGTTATGGTTTTTGGGGTTGTGTGTTTATTGTGTTTTGTTTTGCTTGTTTGGAGTGTGTTTGTTTTGTTCTGTTGGTTTTGTTTGGTTTGTGTTTGTTTGTTGCTGTTGTTGTGTTTGGTTTTCTTTTTTTAATAAGTAGCGTTCCAGTGGTGGATAAATGCCAAAGCGAATCTGATGGGATTTTTTTAAGGATGCATGAAAAAAATTATGTGACTTTTAAACTTGCACATGGAATGAGCTGCACTGTTTGTTAGGAAGTTAGGAGGCGCTGCAGCAGAGACGGAAGTAGTTTGCAAGTTGGTCTCACTGTGGACTAGAATTGAGCATTCCCAGGGGATTTATTTATCGTATGGCATAAAGCTGTATATTTTCCATGTGTATTAATGTAGCTGTCCAGTAACCTAAGCTCAGGCTGAATTGAGTGAGAGGACAGGGAAGAGGGGTTTTCAAGGAGTACTTGTCAGCATTCTCATTGCAGAGCTTTGGCTGTAAATATCTGCTGAAAACTATTTTTTTTTTTTTTAATGAACTAGTATAATACATTATTCTTAATGTGATTACACATTGTTTTGTCTAAAAATTCTGGAGAGCTGAAACTTTCTGAAAATCAAAATTAATTCAGAGCAGGTAGAAAAATACTTTTTAAATGCGTATTTGATAAAGTGCTATTCCATCTTTCTGAAAGGACCAGGGTCAATGCTGCATACACAGAAAATTATGTTAATAGCAGACATTTGTTCCTCATACAGAAAAAGCAGTCTGACACTGAATTTGTGCTTTAAATCTGGTTGGAGTGCTCTTTTTGTTCAGAGATGTAACAAGAACAACCAGATGACATTAGAAGTAATTTTTATTTTATTGTTGCCCCTTATATAAGATGTGTAACTTTGTTTCCCTAAACACATATTTACAGGTGGATAGCTGCTGTGTCTGTCTGTGATTTTTGCTTTATCCTGAACCCAATATTTTGGCAATAATTTAGGGTAGTAGCACTGTAATGTCATTTAAACATGCATTTTATGACTCCTCAGTTAGTATTAATAATAAATTATACCTACACACCTGATTTTTCCTACTGCTAGTAGTGTTACTAAATGGAACTTTTTCAGGCTGCACATTTTAACATTTCATTATCAATCAGTGTTCAATATGGAACTTAGCTTATTTTTTTTCAGCAGCCAGTTCAGTGCAGTTCTGTGAATTTTAGAACACACAAAATCTGTCATAGAAGTCTTGCCTTTTTTTCTGGATAGTAAGTTATTTTTTATTTCAGACTTGATACGTCACACGTGCTGACTGACTTCAGTGTCATAGCAACATTTAGATGACTTCATTACATTCTTTTCATTAGGAAAGGTAATTAAGTCTAAAAGTATGACAGAGCTACTAAAATAACTGCTGCTATAAATCTGGATGTCTGTACAAGGCTATGGACTTTAAAGTTCTGGCATGGTATGTGAACAGTATTTCTAGATTGCTGCCTGGTAAATGGTACTGTCAAAAACCAAAACCCCAACAACACAAACAAACCAACCAAGCAAAAAACACAAACAGAAGCAAAACAGAAGAATCTATTCCCCTCCCCCCCAAAAAACCCCACAAACCAAAACCCATGAACAAAACAAAAAAGTCTGAGCTTCATAAATGTTTCTTTTTTTTTTTTTTTTCAGTCTGAATTTGCCAGTTTCAGTTACCAGCTTCTGATTCTTGCATGCTAACTTGACATTTGTTGCTTTATGAAATTTGTGTTCTCAGTGAAGGTACTTGGGTTGCAATGACAATATCCCTTAATCTAATCTCATTATTTTGTACTAGTAAGCTTAATAATGTGCTTATTAGCATGTGTTTTTCCAGGTCCTCATGAAACAGCCATGAGAAGAGTTAAACTTCTCCATATTTTTAATAACTGACTTGAAAGATGGTGTCCTGATTTTAGCTGTAACATTTTTTTTTCTCCTTCCTAGTAGCTAGTGAAGTTCTGTGTTTCAGCTTTAGTCTGAGAACAATGCTGGTAGCACACCCATGTTTTAATTGTTGCTCAAGTAGCACTTAACCCTGGTCAGGGGCTTTTCAGTCTCATGCTAAGCCAGTGAGGAGGGACAGAAGAGGCTGGGAGGCAGAGACAGGGCACCTGACCCAAAGTAGCCAAGGGGGTATTTGTAGTGAATGCATTTGTTGCCTTTCCATTTATTCATACAGCCCTGCTCTCTCACGTGTTTCTAGCAGATCTGTGGCAATTGGCAAGACTCTTCCAACTTTTCTCACTTGCTATTAGGGAAGTTGCTTCCATTTTGAGAGCAGGCAAGTATCATTTTGTCTGCTGTTAAGCTGTTGGTATCCTAGAGAAGACTATGTAGTTGGATGAAGCAGGAAAGGAAGCTGGGTGAAAACAGGGACATTTAGCAGTCAGATGGGAATAAGTGGGCCAGTCATAGCAAGAACAGTGGGTAAACTCCAGAAGGAGGTGATGGAAGTAGTGATAGATCTGCCTTCACATCACCAGTTCTTCCCAATTTCCCACCTCTCCAGGAAACTCAGTGTCCAGACTCTCATGTTCTGCTTTCCTTTCTTATACTAACTTACTCCAGTTGAATGACTTTTCTTTTTCTTATGACAGAACAAATTATATACTTCAGGTTTCTCTTCCTGCTCAGCTTTTCTTCCACTTGCTGCTGTGCAAGGATAGCTACAGTTTTACAGGAGCATCCCACTTTGAGGAGGTGCGGATGGCCTTCAGTGATTGACTTTGCAAGTGGAGAAGGTGTTGATGATAGGTAGGCGTCAAATATTAGAGAGATGGCAGTAGAGTGGAGATCTCTAGACTGGTGGTATGCTGGTCTTTCTCCTTTCCTGATGCTTTTGCTGCCTGGAAAAAAAAAAGGTGAAAACAAGAAGTTTGAGTAAGATTTAAAGTAATAAGTGGGATGATTGTCAAATTGACTGCTGTGAGATGCTGAAGATCTGTACCAATGCTTGGAAGACTGAACTGGCATGTTATGTGGGGTTCAAATTTTTCTGTGGGTGTTGTTTAGAGCCCACTGCTAGGGTGTAGTGCTGCTGCGAATGACTAGAATCAGCCTACACATTTGAAGGGTGATCCTTAAACATTTATTTAAAAAAATTAGAAAAACAGAGCAGGACTTCAAATACCTTTTTTTTTTTTTTTTAATCTTCTTTCCTGAAGTTTTCATAAAATATGCTATTTTGACAGCATAGCAGTTCTGTCAGACTTGATAAAGGAGTTAATACCAGAGGGTTGTCTATTTCTACGCTGTTTTTATTTTAAAGGTAGTTATTTTCCACACTTGCTTTCTGCATTATATATCTAAATGTGATTTCTTTGTGTTTCAGGAACAATATTCATCCATTAATCAATGTCCTTGAAAACAGACCTGATTGCTGGCCAGTTCTACTGCAGCAGATAACAGTATTTTTCCACCAGTGTCCAGAGAAGTAAGTAAATGAATAATTAAAAAATAGCCGATTTAGGCAACTGAATTGTATGAGTGTAACTTTTTTCCAAAGGCAGCTGCAATGAGTAGTCTTTCGAAAAATCTAATTGTAAAAATCTATGACCCTATTTAAAGGTTAAAAATAGAATATTAATGAAGTACTAGAATAATCCATCAAAAATATTTTATGTTTTTTCTAAACTCTGATATTGATGTAATTTTTAGAATATGGAAAAATGTGTGCAAAATTCATAACACCTTCCAGTAATTTTGATTATTTACTTCGTCACTATTTTGACTGCTATGCAGGTATAACTTACCTATACAAAATGTTGAGATGATAAAGGTAAAGCACAGATGGATACATCTCACCATAAAGAATGGGGTCTTTAAAGTATGCTTCTTGATCAAAAAGAAATTAGAAAGGCTGTGCCACTGGTTTTTTTTCTATAAAATATTTGTAACAATGAATAAAGCTGCAACCAGTTTCAACATTTCTTCATGCTTATCTTGAAGGAACTTGTCCAATGAAGCTTCAGTGTAAGACACCAAATGCCATACCAGATTAAGTGCCAAATGTTTTCACTGATTTTATACATGTATGTATGCTCTTCAGATAAAAGGTATCTCTTCTGTTTTCTGGAAGACTCATACAAATCCAGCAGAGTAATAGTACAGTGAAATTGACTTCTGTATTCTGTTGCTCTGATTAAACAGATAAATTTATTAATCTCTCGAATTTCTAGTGGTCTTAGACTACATGATCCACATTAAGGCTTTGATGCAAAAGTGTGTTCTGTTCAATTTAATTCATCAGAGTAATTTTAAAATACTGTTTTTAGACTTGCTCTTCCACACAGCTACTAAGTCTGGGACTTGTGAAAATGGAATGAACTGTGGATTTTTTTCCTGGTAGCTTGCTTTAAATTAAAACAGGAATTGTTCATGCTGAGAAGGAAAATATCTTAAACTTCTTTGCTGCTTTTTGTGCAAATGTTTCTGTGGAATACATTCCAGACTGAGAATATAGAATCAGGGAATCATAGAATCATTTAGGTTGGAAAAGACCAACTGTAACCTAATACCATGTCTGTAAGCACCACAGCAACAAGCACCACCTGCATACATTGATGTAGATGTGTTAGCTGTTTGTTCTTAAAGCTTTGCATCAGGACTAAGTCTTGTTTAAAAGTGACTTTTAATTTTGATCTCCTGCACATTTGTTAATTGCACTTCATTTCGTGGTTGCTATGTAAGGTGTCATGACAGTACTTCATACTGACAAGTGCTAACAAGCTTTTTGTGAGACTTAACTAGTGTCTTCCGTAACACCTTTCTGTTTATTGTGTCCTGTAAATTATTTCAGGTAAGGTTACATTGCTTAGGTTTTCCTTTTTATTTGTTAAGTCTTCAGTAGAAGGCAGTCTCGGCAAACTTGCTTCTTGAACTGCAGGGCACAGAGTTCATGTGTTGGCATAATGGCTCCATTTCTAAGATACCTGTATTGTGAACCATCTCAGTTACGGGAATATGCTGAACTGCGAATGGGTTTACTTAAGATCTTACTTCAGCCCCGTGGTCCTAAGCACAAAGAAGCACCCTCCATGCTGGAATGCCAGATTCTTCAACTTCTGTGGGATGTGGTTCCCCACCTTCAGGTACAGTTGTTGCCTGTTGTACAGTTGTTGCTTTAAAAGTCACCTGACCCCGACTTTTACAAAGATATGCTATCAAAGTAATGATACTATTAGTAGTATTGCCTTTCAAGTGTGCAAATACATCATTCTCTTCCATTTTTTATGGGCTTGATTTGGTAGTACAGAAATCTAACAAACTGGGTCTTTCTGGTAGAAAATAAAGCTCTTCAGTTTTTAAAATCTGATACATCTTATGAAGCATAAATTGAAACACATTTACCATAATTAGTTGTCACTAGTTGCAACATTAAACATACAGTGAAGTTGTACAGATACCCATGAGAGAGATAATTTTGTTAAATGTTAAAATGTTTGTGAAAACATGCAATTTTTAACTTAGCATGGATAATACTAAATGAAATAGCTATATGATAAGCACAATTCAAGTGTTCCTAGATATTCCCTTCTCACTCTTTGTAACAGAGGGATTAGTGGATATGAAGACAAAACTTAATCCCTCTGTAATATGCTGAAGTTTGACACTTTCTTTAAGTTATACAGTGATACTTGCCAGGAGCTAGGGATTTAATCTTTTCTGTCCCTTTTAGTTAGGGGTCTGGGGTATTGGTTAAAGTTCATAGTTCTACTTTGACTCATGCTTTACCATGACATTAGTTAAGGTTTTTTTTGTACCTATATACTTTTTTTGTCCTCTTTAATTTTGGAGCGCCATCTTCAGTGTGTACTCTAGTGATTCAAACATGAGGTGCTATGATATTACTGCCATAGGGAGATAGTTTATAAGATCAATAATGTAAAGCATATAGCTTTACATCAAGCCTTATTACACTGGCTTGATGAGGATATTTGGTAGCATCTTTCTCCTGAGGAATTTTACTAGTAAAGTCTTCTTTCCACTAGTAGCTACTTTGCACAACCTTTTGACCAATATTAACTTCGATTATACACATTTATCTTGGTTTGCGCCTACACTTTGTGAAGATAGGTAAATGCTGACTTTTTCTAGTAACAGTATTTCTTATTTTGTCTTGATTATACCTGAACTTCAGTATAACTCTTTATCCTGAAGGTATGACCAAGCTCCTGACTTGGTAACACTTAGCCATAAAATTGGCACTGAAGACTTAGAAAGATTAGTTACAAACCTTTCTTTCCTCCATGCTTGTTGGCACTTTTTTTAGAAGTATGTTTGTTTTTTGTTGAACTTGGATTAATACTTAAATGTTTTTGTCTTGTCTGAGATACAACTTTCACAATGGAAAGGACAATACTTCAAGAAGCCCATTTGATGAGCTGGTTTATAATGTTATTCCTTCTCCTCTTTCTCTGAACCTTGGGTTCTCCTTATCCTTTTAAGCTTAGCCTTATTTAATCCTCTGTATTGTTAATGTTTTCTAGTCATTTGGTCTGATGATATCAACAAAGCTGTCAAAGGTACAGCATGTCACCTGCAGACTTTCCTAATGAAAAAAAATTGTGGAATTTAGGCTTCTGGTTAGAGCACATTATTCATGGAATTTTTTCTAAGGTACTGCAAATTACGATGTTTTCCTTAATGCTGGCTCCAGAATTTGGATTGGAACAGCTGGGTCTGTAACTAGTGTTTTTCAAGAGCAGAAATGCTCTCAACTAACACATAAGGGTTTAGAGGCAGTTTGCTTCTTGAAGTCTCTTTACTTGGCTTCCAGGTACAGAGATAATGCTTTTGGGTTTTACACTTCAGCTTTTCATTTTGTAGTAGGTAGATTATGTGGTGCTCCAAAATCAGAAAACATCACTGCCTTTGTCTTTTGTGACATATATTAATGTATCTTCATTATGTTACAGAGGAAATACCCTGGAGCAGAGAGTTTCCATTACAAGATATTAAATGCCCACAATTTTGTTAATGTTGCTGAGAGAACCCTGAGAGCTGAATTTATTCGGCATTGCTTTTGCCGAAAAAGGGAGTTTTCTCAACAGAAACCAAGAAAACTTTTTATTCTTTCATGTTTCTAATCTTACTTCAGAATATTAAATAGCAGTTCGTCTATTGCTTCTTCAGGGAAGTCGAATAAGAGATTCCTGGGTTTAGTTTGTAAATGTGTTTCTTCAAAGCCTTGGTAATATTTGCAGTGCTAATATTATTGTAGAGCTAATAGAACTAATTCTATACTTGGGAAATTCTCTGTGGATAGGTAAGGGGAACTAAACCAGAATGTGTTTTAGTTTAGTTTTGTTGTTCTGTTTTTTTTTAACTGCCTTTCTACAGCATAAAGACTTACTGCAAGTTACAGAAGCCTCATTTTTTCTGCAAGAGCTATTCCTCAGTCTACTGCGTTATTCTGTGTTTTGGAAAGTTCAGTTATCTGAGTTTTGTCTGCAACTGTTAAGCTTCTGTGAAGTGTGCTTAAATGTAATGGGAGAATGCTCATCTTTGATCTCCTTAATAGAAGACAACTTTGAGCTCTTAAAAGAGGTAAGAGTTCAGGGGGAAAAAATGAGTAGTTGCATTAAATTTAGAGAATGTCATTTTTAAGACAGTAGTGGCATTGATATGTGACATTCATCTGCAAGTGGCCATTGTTGTTTGAAAAGTTTCTAATTTTTTTTTCCTTGGCTGAAGACTTTCAGAAGGTGAAAACTGGTTAAATACTTAACTATTTAGTATGGGAGTTGATTTAAACTGAGGTAAAATGGTTTGAACAAAGTAACAAATTAAAATGTTGTAGTTATTCACTTAAAATATGATTTTTACACTATTTGTATTCTTTATTACATGTGCTGTGTCAGTGTGCACTCACTATGATTCATGAGGAAACTCCTTAGAGAGTTTTGATTGCTGCCAATTTGTACTGTTTAATTGCACTGAAAAACCACGGCGATTCAAACCACTTCTGTTTTTTCCTTGCAGGCAGTTCCAGTGGAACAGTGTATAATTGGGCTAGCACTTCTACTGCTGCAAACCCCCAAAAGTCAGCAAAAGTCTATTCTGAGTCTAGGTAAAGCTCTTCTTGTCAAAGAGGGGTCTACAGTCTTAAGACTGTGTCTGTTGTTTCTTCACATTTATGTTTATACAAAAACTGTATTCCCCTGAAGTTGGATTGGGTGATGGGTTTGGTTTGTTTTTTTTTTTGTTCTTTTTTTAAATAAGCAGGGTTTTCCTTGAGTTTAAAAAGCAACATTACGTGGAATGGCAATAAAAATAAATTTTCCTGCCACACTAACTTTTTTTATGAATGTTACTGTATTTTAAGCTCCTTGCTGTCTTGGAGCTTATCTGCTTTGGTTTTGAGTCAACAATAGGGTATTCTCAGCTGAGATTGATGCATGCTAAATGGTTTCTTTTGACAGATCTTAAGAGAGCAGGCCTGACAGTCATGGCAGTGTTTGGCTGAGCTTTTGATTTAATGGTTTTGATTAGTGGAGTTATTCCAGTAAAAGCAAAGGACTGCGCTGTATTCTATTGTTGTATTTCTTGCTGCCATTAGGTACTTTGTTGTAAACAACAGAAATGTATGGTCTCTGAACAGAATTGGAGTTTTATAAAAAAATCTTCTGGACTTTAGGTCTAGTATGCACATACTATAATTCTGTTACTTTGCTTGACCAGTGTGTTTCATAGAAATGTTTGTGTTGTGCCACGAAGTACAAGTATTATTAGTTCTTTCTTCCGTACATGATCTTTGTTTTTTCCCACTTTTTTCTAAATAGCCTGCAAGCTCCTTTCCTGTTCAGAAACCCAGAGCATCTCAACCACAGCCTTTACTTTGGTGATGCCTGTGCTACAGATCTTAACTTCTACAACAGTTGGGGACTGCCTATCAGAGGATGATTCTGGAATTACAAGGCAGCAGCTGGCTGTAAACCTTTTGGAACTAATACAGGAGGAAGGTGTGAAGGATAAAAAGGAATTGGTAAAGTTATAGGGTTTTTTCCTTTTTTTGGGGGCAGGTAGGAGGATGGATTCAACAGGACTGGCATTCTAGGTTGTTGATTTTTTTTCACATATGGTGGTTGTAATGTGTAAGTAATGGAATAAGTGAGTTTTAATGTTTTTTAAGAGGTCATCTGAAGTACAGAGGTGTTCTAACTTCCATTAACTAAAACAAATTTGTATTGCTAAATGGGGAAATTCTGTCATTTTTATGGAGAGCAGCTTTTGCTACTCAAAATCTCTTTTTTCTCTGGTAATTTAAAGGTGAGTTGGCCCTGTGCTGTTGGAGTCTGAATTCCATTTTTAATGTTTGGAGACCTCTTTTCAACTAATTTCTAAACCATGATTTTGATATGAACATTCTTCATCTGATTACTGCCTGCCAACTACTTTCTTAATAATTGAAAGGCATTTCTGAAGATAGTGCATTTTCTAAGAAAACAAAAAATTGCTAATAAAGAAATGGTTTTTCTTGGGTTAAACTTTATTGTTTTAATTAAAAACTTTGAACTTGGCTATTAATATGCAGGAGCTTTGTCATATTCATACTTTTATATATATAAAAATCTGAGTTAGAAGGGTTTCTCACTGCTATTTAACTACTTTCCTGCTTATCATGTTACCTTTTCTGACTGCATCTGTAGAACATTTTGTTCTGAGAAGTGAGACAGTTTACCTAAAACTGAGTTGTTTTATTAAGTACTATAAAAAGTTAGAAGAATTTCCTTAGAATAACGTAGATGATAGTTACACTTTGTGATGCACCTGTCATTGTCAGGAATGGGAGCTTTTGATGTACTGCAGTCTTACTGTGTCCATTTTAGTGAGGAAGTAGCACTGCAGTTGCCAGCAGGAACAGGAATGATGGATGCCAAATGAAGAGGGAGCTCCTGAATAGGGAATTAGCAACCCATTCAATCATCCTTAGTATGATAATTCATATAAATAATTGTAAAGAAATGTATTGCAATTTATTCTTTACATTTATTGTAATAGGACTTTAAAAAAAGGATTTGGTTTGTATAACAGAACTGGATTAGTTACATTTTGTAGTTTGATCTTTCATGGTGCCTTTGTTTGATTGAGAATTTTTCGTTTCACTTGTTCTCAGGTATCCTGTAAACTCATTTACCCCATAACCAGCTCTTACAGCTCATTGTTTATAACCTGGAAGATGATAGAGCTCATGAAAGAGAAGTCTGCAGTTACTAACTGGTTATCTTCAGTTAAATCACTGTTACCTGTCACCACTAAAGTCCCTGCCCATGTTTTTCTTCTGCTGGCTTATCTACTGGTCCAGAAAGATGGAGACAGTCTTCGTGATGTACTCCAGACTACTACAGAAATAGTCAAGGCTGATTGTTCTCAGGTAAAAACTGTTAATTGATTTCTGTTACAGGAGTTGTGATGGATTGTGCAGCCTGAGAGTCACAACTCTGCCACAGCTTCATGACCTCAGATCTAACAAGTAGTAAAACTGCCTGTGCGCCCAGTAGGTACATCACATGCAGCACATGTGTACACCGCATACCTGTGCTTTTATGTATATAATGTAGGCACACAGAGCACTCGCAAGAATACAAAACAGCACCAGAGGCCCTATCCTGCTTCACTTTCTGGCTGAGGAGGATGGGGGTCTACTAGTGGGAATATATGTACAATGTACAGATACATATGATAGATATGACATGGAGCTTTCCAGCAATGGGGAATACACAGAGTGCGCAGTAGGTGGCTTCTGATCCCAGTCTCACCACTTGCTGGCATCTGGATGTACAAACCTCTTGAGGCTGCAGCTCCGCTGCAGTTGCTGGTGCAGACTGTCCCACCCATCCTGGGAGCGCACACAAATGCAGCCCTACACACATCTCCTGCCTCTGGGAGCACCACTGCTCTCTGGGACTCCCCTCACTCCTAAGTAGGCACTTCCACTCTGTTCTCACCCTTAGACACACACATACACATACACGTGTATTCCCCATGCTGACTGGAACTCTACATCAAAATATGTATTATGTCTCAGTTTTGGAGTATTTTTTAATTGTTTACGCTTAGGAAAAGAAACTGGATTATTTGTTAATATTGTCTAGTAACTGAAAATATAACATGATGAAGTGGAAAAGAGGCTACTAAACCATTTTTGGTGACCTCTTAGGTTATTCTCTGTGTTCTTTTGTGGCTATTGGAAGGCTGCGAAGTCCCTTGCAATATTTGTGTACTTGCTTCTTAAAAATATGTGCACAGGCTTTGTCCGCTTCAGTACTGAATTCAAGCTGGAATTATACATCATGCTTATACTTATCCACATAACCTGGAAAGATGAACGGTGCTATCTAGAAACAATAATAGTGCATGAGACATTATACACAAGCAGTCACATCTTGAAAAATTAAACAAAATAGGTAAGGGGAAGTGTTACTTCCAATTTCAGATGTGCCATAAAGACAGGCTTTATTTGCTTTTTTTTTTTTTCTGTCTCAAAGAGTTATCACATTCTGCAGCACAGGAGTTGGATAGAGCTTACAATACATGCACTTGATGACTTGCAGTGCTGGGCACTCTAACTCTGATCCAGGGAAGCAGTTTAGGATGTGCTTGCTGTTGAATACATAGCGAAATGCGGGGCTAAACTAGGCCTGTTATACACTGCTTTTGGAGATAACTGTATTTCTTAAGTCAGAGAAGATTTTAAACCAAATGACAGCTTCATCTGTTGTGGGTTGCCTGTTGTTAACCTTTTATGTCTCTTCTCTGATCTTTTTCAGGGTTGTCTTTCTTTGTTTTCTTGTATAGGTGTGCTTTATAATGCACTCAAATTGATATAGTTTTGGGAGTATATGATTTCTTTAAAATAGTTTGTCAATTTGACAGAATTTTGCATTTCCTTTGTCTTTCAAGTATTGTATTCAGTGCTTTTGTGTTGTAATTAGGCTTGTAGGGATTAGTAATTTAATATTTCTTCAAAATGTTTTTATAAGTCAACATTCAGAAGTAGTGTGAGTAGTCTGACAGGTTCACTGAATAGCCTATAACCAGGCCCTGTAAGTGAATTAGTTACCTAGGAAAAGGGGTAAGTTACCAATACATGTTGCAACACCTGCAGTAGACATATCTCTGCTATATCCTATAAAACTTTTCTTCAGTTCTGATACATACTGCTGCGTGTAAGGCAGCTTCCTTCTTGTGACTAACTTAGCTAGTGGTGTAAAAAGTGCTAAGGTAACTCCAGGCTTTTTATCTCGGCTTTCCTGGTTTTGTGTGTAGGTTGTCTGTAACTTGGTTTGCTGCATTAAGTCTTTGAGTTGTATGATGAATCAGTGTATGATGAATCAGCTGTATGATGAATATTACAGAAAGAGGAGAGGCATAATGCTTTGTTTATTAACTGTTTGATATAGTTGTTCAAAATACACTTTGATAGTAATTCAGAAAAGAAATAAATTGCAGGCAGAAAAAAATCACTGAAGAATATGGCACCTTAGCAGAGTAGCTTGGACTGTGTATGGAATGAATCTCTTCTGAACTCTCCCTTGGAGTAATCTGGAATAACTCCACTGACTTAAAATGAAAAGTGTTAGAGACAAATTTTAATTCAAGTCAGCAGAGTTAGAGAAGCTTTAGGTATGCAAAAGAGGAATTTATCCTGAACTTCTTGATATTTAGCATGACATGAATGGATTTACCTCCCTTGTTCTGCCTGTTTGAAGGCAAAGCTTTTATTCACCAATGCAGTAAGTAAGATTGATGGGAGCAGCCTCTTGAGCTAACTGTGGTGCTTTGACTATTTCAGAATTAAGAATCTCTTGAGACTGGTGGAAAAGTCCTTCCTGGCTTTGGGAAAAATGGCTCATACCCAAATGCAGCAAGAATGTGAAGTTCAAACTGTATCTTGCTTTCTCTTTTCCTAATGATTAGCAGAAGGCCATGTGAATTAGAAGCTGTTGTTTAAAATACAGAACTCAAAATGGCAATCAGTTAATATCTAACTGCTCACACTTTGTTTACTAACAGAGACTGTAAATAGTGAGCTTTTAGCTTCTTAAATTACTGTGGCTACTAAAATTCATTTCTGGAAAATATACAGAGCATTCTTGTATTACTGTGGCTAGTAAAATTCATTTCTGCAAAGTATATAGAGCATTCTTGTGTCTTTTTAATAGTTAACATGAAGCACCAGTATAATTGGTAATACAGCAGGAGTTCTGCTGGATAATAATTGGCATGAAAAGAATACTCTGCTTAATTGGGATATTTCCCTTCTCAGTCTTTAGTTAAGTGCACCCAAGGACACCTAAATATTCTCTGGTTAGCAGTATCTAATACATTGTTGTCTTTTAAATTACGTTTCTTATTCCAGAGGACCTTAACACTTTAAAACCGGGACCTACAGTCTGGCTCAACTGATCTTGGGATCACCTGGCATCTGTCTTGACTCAGACAAATTATTTTAGTTCTCAGTCTGCTTAATGGGCTCACAGAGATTATTACACTGTGGCACAGCACTGTACTGAGAAATTATCATGTTGTTTCCTGAAGGTGCAATGCTCACATTAAGGCATGAGGAATTGCCTCTGGTCTCAGTCTTGCCATTGCAATAGTTAGTACAGGGGGAGAAAGCATTGAAGCTCCTGGATGGGGGAAATAACCTATTACTTTAATAGACTCAATGGGCAGTATGATGGCAACAACCGCTAGCATACTGATAGCAAAGTTATACTTCAGGATTTGCTTTATTTGGTTCTTTTATTCAGTTCTATGTAATTAAATGGTGCTTTATAAAAGATTGGAAAAGTAAGTGGGAAAACTATGATCAGAATATCCTATAAGAAAGTGAAAAGCCCATCACAGCAAATTTTTAAAATGTTTTGGGTCTTCAGTTTCTTAGGGCACTTTTTGAAGGATGCAGTGGGAAGGCAGTGTGCAGTATATTAATTAAAAGGCTGTTCTGAAGCAGAAGAAAGAAGTTGGGTGTGGAAAGAAGAGAACAAAAAAATGGCTGTTAAGCTTATTTTTAAACAGTCACCTGTTAACTTGAATGTCTTCCTTTGGTGTTAGTAGCACGTGAACACTCAATTTAAACCTGGGTGTTTGTAAGGAAGGATGATCTAACCAAATGAATATAAATATATTCAGAATTCCATGTCTTTGATTCATGTTTGAATCAAAGTAAACTTGTACTAATAGAATCTCAGCACTTAGCCTTGCAAAATGTAAGTAAAATGTCTGATGGGCAAAAAGAAGTCAATTTTGCAACCAAACTGTAGGCTGCTTGTATGACAGCAGTTATATACAGAAGTGCTGGGATATTGTGGTGTGGGGTCATAGCATAAAAAGAATCATGTATTGCTTTTTTTTTTTTGTTCTTTCTTTTTTCTTTTTTAAAGTGATCAAGTTAATCAGTAATTCTGCTATTAGTGAAGTTTTGTTGCTGTGTGGTTCAGATGATTCGTGGCTCTAGCTTTGGATGGTGAATTGAAAATTGAGTAAAAGGGTGATTGCGATGCGTCATGGTTTAACTCCAGCCAAACAGCTTTTCACTCGCTCCCCCCTCCTTCCTGCCCTCCCCTTACTCCTGGAGGGACAGAAAGGAGAATCAAAAAGAATGCAACTCCCACAGGTTGAGATAAGAACAGTTTAGTAACTAAGGTATAACATAAATCGCTACTGCTACCACCAATAATAATGATAAAGGAAATAACAAGGGAAGAGAATACAACACCTCAGCACCAGCTGACCAATAACTTGCCCCCCCCTTCCCCCCCAGCCTCCAAGCATCGACTGATACCTTCTCCAACGCTGCAGTCACTAGCCCTTCCGGGTCACTCTCTGTTACATCCTGGGCATGACGTGCTGTGGTATGGAATACCTCTTTGGCCAGTTTGGGTCAGGTGTCCTGTCTCTGCTTCCTCCCAGGTTCCCCTCCTCCCTGGCAGAGCATGAGGCTCACAAAGTCCTTGGCCAAACCAAAATATCATTGTTACCAGCTTTGTTCCCAGACCAAAAGTCAAAACACAGCACTGCACCAGCTACCAAGAAAGAGAAAAATGACTGCTACTGCTAAACCCAGGACACCATGCAAAATCTGTTCTGACGAATTGTGTTTCAAAACAAAACAGGGTCAGAAGAGAATGTGCCTTGAGAATGCTATCGTCATTGCTTTCATGTTTATTGCAGCTCCCCTGTGGCAGGTCACAAACAGTATCTCCCGTTTCCACACTGAATGTTTTTCATGTAAAGAGTCTTTTTTTTTTTTTTTTTTTTTCTGCAGTAAATTAATGGAGCATTTTAAAAACCTTGCTAGGTTTAAAAATAATTACTGTAATTGATTTTGCAGACATTGTTCTGGTTATGCTTCATTTTTTTATTTTCTTACCCTTTCCATGAAGGGAACCTGCAGAGGACTCCGTGTATGTATCTCCTTCTTCCCTATTGAGTAAGAGCCTTTTTATGGTGCAATGTTAATGATTGTATTAGATCCATTTTTAGCTGAGGCATTTTGGAGTAATGATCTGAAACACTATAGAAGAAAATCAAAAAATCTTTGTAAAAGGCTGAGGAATAAAGAGTAGTACATGGCCTTTTAGTCTGTCTTAAATCACTGCAGAAGCTGCACTGACACATGATGTTTGTGAAAGACTTAATACAGTTTTTTCTAATTGGATGAATTTTCTTGTTGTGCAAAAACTGTTATTACACTCTGTGAAACCAGCTGTGCTGCAAGGGGAAGAAATTAAATTGTCTGACTGAGAGGTCGCTGGTGAATAGTAGCGCAAGATCTGTTACCATTATTAGAGGATTATGAGGCTCTAGAGGACATCCGGTCTTTTATGGTCTTTCAACTGCTGAAATGAAATATTTTAGTGGTAAATGACACTCTTCTGGGAAATCCATCTAAAGATACATTTTTGTGCTCTTTGGGGGTTGGGAGTGGGTTTGAAACCAAAACAAAGTGTAAAATGCATTTTTATTTGTGTAGAAAACATTTTTATATGTTGAGCTGGATTTGGCTTGCTCAGGTGGTGTCTGATGATATTGTTCGATGTCCGATTATGTGTACTGTGAAGAGTAGCAGTAGGGAAACAGTCACATTATAGTCAGATCTTCATGGCTGAAACTTACTGATTAGGATCCTGCTGCAGTACATGAAACCTTTGAAAGTCTAGCTTCTGTTCGCTAAAAAGTGCTTCTAATTTTTGAAAACAGTTTATTTTCTAACTTTTATAAACAGAAAGTGAACTTCATTTGTGCACGTTTTTGAAAAACTGGTTCCTTCATTTCGTGTGAATTATTTGATGCTTCCCTCTTGCTCATTGGAGCAAGAAATGCCAGAGTACTGAATGCTTTTGAAAACCTGCTCATGTCACTGCCTTGCATTCTGGGGATCTATATTGTTGCTACCTGTCTTGCATAACTTGGCCTAACATTTCCCAGAAATAAAACCTGGAACTTTGTAGTGACATTTATTTCCTGTCTTTTGGTTGGCTTTTTGTGGGGGGCCTGGAATGATCTTTTAGTGTTAAAATTGACCCAAATAACTAATTTATTCACACCACATTCCCCTACATCCTTCAGAAAGTGCCCTGTGGAACTGAAGAATCAAAATATTTTAAAAGTTTGCTGTGATGAGCTTTTCACTTTCTTAAAGGATATTCTGATCACTGTTTTACCACTTACTTTATCCACCTATTATAAAACACCATTTATTTCTGTAGAACTGACTAAAAGAAGCGAGATAAGCATGCAAGCAAGGAAAATACAGTGGGAATAATGTGAAGTGATAGCCAACATTTAGAATTTAAAATTATATGTTAATATGTATTTGATTATTCAACCTCACTGACACATCATCTGGGAGTGTAGGGAATGCAGAAGGCAGTGTTGCCAGGCAGCATGCCTCTCCCACCTGTGGAGCTGCTTCTTACCTACTAGGAGCAAATGAGTCATCATGTCTGCATTTTGGAGCTGTTAAGCTGTTTGCTGAAAATTTAGCATAAATTTAATGTTGAAATTAGTCCCAGCATTGTTTATCCATTACGTGAAGCAGATGGAGAGAGGAGCAGCTCTGCTGTACTAGAACGTTTTGGTCTTATTCCTTATCTTACAATGTGAACACAAAGATCAAAACAAGTACACTTTGAAAGACAATACCTTTAAGAAAATTTGTCACTAAGCATGTGCTTAGTCTTTTACTGAGAATTTTGTAAATCAACTTTAGTATCGGTTTCCTAGATTTTAGTGTAAAAGTCATAGTAGAATTTTTATTTGATGCCTGTTTAGTGTAGAATAAAATTTGTAACTGGAAAATTAATGCCAACACTGGAGTTGGAATGAACTTAACCGTCACAGCTGATAAAGTCTAAGGCTTGAGCTGACTGGCTTTACAGGGTTTGGATGCTTTTATAACTAAGGATTAGGGATATAATTTTTTTTGATTGTATTTTATTTTGACCGTCATTCAGTCAATTGCTGTATGTATAGTCCAGTGTAGCTACAACTGAGAATACGGGAAGTAGTCTGTTGAATAGAGAACTAGCTTATGATCAAGTGGAGTTGCATAAAACCCCGTCTCTGGCAAAAGGAAGAGTCACTGTGGGGAGAGATCTGAAGGAACAAACTTAGGTAATGAGTTTGATTACTGTAACAACATATCTGATGTCTCTGCTGGTGTTTTATGTAGCCTGTATGTCCAGCAAAGGATAAACTGATGACATCATTTATCAGGGATGGGTATGTAAAGAATTAACAGAATGTTCTTACCATCTGAGCTGAGAATATTTCAGCCATGCTGCTGCATACAAAACTGTCTGGATAATATTATTAGAAGACATTTCTTTACTCTTCACGCATTGTTTTAACACTTTTATGGACAACTTAATGCATCTCAACAGAGGAACATGCATGACCTCCCTAATGATTTTGGGACTCTATAATGGTGACGCAGGTTGCTGTGTTAGTGTCAGTGATTACCCTCACCCCTTGAGATATGGAATGTCTGTTGCTTGCTTGTCACCCTGCAATTCACCTTGTGTCATTTACAGATTTAGGTAACAGCAAATCAGGTGATATATTTTCCTTGACACTCAAGGTACAGCAGGTGCTCAGAAATAAAACTGGTTCTGTCTATCAAGTCTTCTAGCTTCAAGGGGATTTTTTTTTTTTTCTTCCTGTATTATTTGGTTTCTGTGCAAGCTTCCCTTTCCCTAAGGCTTGATTTAGTCATGTCCTGGATTTGAAGATGTTTAGCCTTTGGTACTCAAGTCTTTTATTCAATTCTATTTAATTTAATCAGAAAGTTAATTCTACTTTTCATCCTGTGTAGTAAACGAACATAGTTTTCTTATAGTCATTGCAGTTTTCCTTTTGGCATGGGTAAATCAGGGACTACAACTGCATTGTGCATAGGTTAGTCTAAAACAAATTATTGCAATTGGGGGATGGGAAGGAAAGCTAAGTCAGCAAATTAAAACTCAAGTTTTGGGTGAATGTTTTGTTTTTCTGTTTTTCAGCGTTCAGTTAGGAATAAACAGGTAGGAGAGAAAGTCTTGTGTTGAACGTGCTCCTAGGTGTGTCTGCTCAGATGAATACTACCTTAAATTCTCAGGCATATTTATTGATTTTGCTTTGAAAGATTTGCAGTAAAGCCAGTCCTCTGTCTAGGGAGGTTATGAGTGATGACTGCCTCTACAGATGGTAGACAGCAACCTTGCAAAACAAGGAAGGAGGCTAGTCAATTAGTAAAGAATGTGGGGAATAAATAGAATAAACGGGTTTATTTTACTTAAGAATGTCAAGTAGTATTTGTAAAACGAAGGAAAAAAAAAGTATAGAGATTTCCTTAGGTATTAAATACAGATTCCAGGACAAAGGTTTTAGGTCTCTGGATGTCCAAATTTGTATTGTTCAACTGTAAAGATAGTGATGTTTTGTCGAACAAACAGTATTTTCTTTCTGTCTATAAGTTGGAACCAGTAATTACAGAAAGAAGCAAAATCCCAGAGCTCTTGAATTTGTATTCATTATTCTTGCTCTGTAGTTTCTGTGTACTGAGACAGGCTTGTGTACACTGAAATGTTATCATCTGAAGACATCTGCTCATGTAAAAATGCATGTTGAGAGACTGCTGTAGCAAAGTTTCCCATTGATAGGTTTTTTTTAACAGCTGCATTTTTAAACCACTCACATATATAAAGGGACAGCTTTACCAGGGTGAATTCTCAGAAGTGTAGGAATGTGAGTTAAAGATTGGATCCAATCCTATGCATGTTCGGTTTGAGAGTTTCTTAGTCTTTTAGCTCAGCCCAGTATGCGTAGAATTTAGTACACGTTTGTTCTTCTGCTTTAAGCCCCCAGTATTGGCCTTACTCAATGAGTTTTCTAAAGTTACAGTAATTTGAGGTTAAAGAGGAAAAACCTCTCCCGGGGTGACTCACTTCAGAAGTAAATACTAGAAATGAAATGGAGAACTCTGTACCGCGTTCACCATAAAAGGAAAATAATCTTCTGAAAGCCAGAAAACTCAAAAATAATTTTGTCTGCTTTCTACTGCTGAATACCAAATTTCCTAATTAGCTATTCTGTTCTTGGGAATGACATCTTTTCATGCAAGTTTTATCTGTGGGAGACTAAGCCATGTGGCTAGGTGAAAATAATTAGTACTGTATAAAGGCAGGATGTAAAGCAGTACCATGAAATTAATTTTAAGTATCCATGAAATCAAGTAAGGGGAAAAGTAAAGCCAGCCTAAGTAGTTTTAATTTTACAGGGTAGTGATGTCAATATGCCCAAGTAAAAACCAAAGGCCCTGCAGGTATGAAAATACTGAAAATCTGGTCTAGATAAAGGGGGAATGGATGTGAATGTCTCCCATCCTTTTTTGTCACTTCAGGGGCTGCTTTCTGGGAGTTTTGTACCATATATTAAAAAGTGCAGTAAATTATATAGTATTATATGACAGGTTTGTGGGATATGATAGTATCATCATTGGAATTTCTGTGTAATGACAGAACTGAATTGGAATAGTTTCTTCATTCATTTGGTATGGATTTTAGTGTACCACTTTCAATTATGTGTTCCTTTCAATATGCCTGTAATGTAATTTCAAGTAAAAATTCACGTGTGGATTATTGCATTGATTTCGGCTGAACATACGTAACACAGTGCTTGTAAAATGATAATTTAAAGGAAAAGAAATTGTTAATCCTATGAAATTACAGACTTAAGAATTTTCCTTTCTCTTTCCTATTAACAGAAGAACTAATGCAAAAGGGTAGGAGTTTGTAATATGTTCTGACAAGGTCACTGTCTTATGTATGATATTGTGTTGGCAACCCAGTTTCAAGTTTATTTTCTTCTTTTATTATAGGTCCCAAATCTGATCCCAGTTCTAATATTTAAATTGGGAAGACCTTTGGAGCCTGCACTTTACAGGGATGTATTGTATACATTGCCTACACTGGGTGTACACAAGGTAGGAATAAATGTTTTTAGTAAAAGAGAAACTGTATCAATAAGAGGTCATTTATTTTGTAAAAATTATTTAGACTGAACAAGGCATATCTTGCTTAAAATAACTGATTTGTAAGTTTCAGCATAACTATCTAATATCTTCGATGGTATATGATGTCTGTTTTAGAGTGAAATATACATTATGCTGTATTATCTGTACTGTATCATTATATATATGTCATAAGAAGATGTTCTTGGACTTGCACTGAAGCTTTTCAGAAAATTAATTTGACACTGCAGTTTGACAGTTATCTCCTTGTTGTACTTGGTCATAAAACAGTCATTTGTAGATTAATCTTTGTTCTCGGACATGAAAAATAACAGTGAAATTTGGTTAAAAATTTTCTTTCAGGTTTGTGTTGCTCAAATTCTGCGTGCCATACACATGCTGGGAAGCGTGCCAAAGCTTAGAGCGGTTACTTTGCGGCTGATGACATCCTTATGGGAAAGACAGGTTAGAAAAATCTTGTAGTGTTCCTAAGATAAGTGTAGTTGAAAAACTAGTTGCCTCTAACCAAGAAAGGAAATCAATTTTGTAGTATTGCTTACACTAATAGCTCATTATCAGTTATGGGAGTGGTGCCTCTACTGACTCTGTTTTAGTGACAAATTTCTGTAGTATGTCTTTCATGAAACCTGCTTTTCATTTAATGAGCTCTTAGACTGGATGTTTGAAAGACAGCTTTCTGCTTTTCATGATGTACAGTAAGAACAAGACCTTAGTTATATGGCATTAATTTACTTTTATGTTCATAAAGTAGCAACAGAGATTTGGTCTGCAGAAGCCATTTAGATCTCGGTGCAGCATTAGATTCTCACAATGAAGAAAAGCAAGTATGGTATACAATAAAAGAGGTATTTACAGATCATATAAAAGTGCTAACCATGAAAATGCTGTCACCAGCTTTCAAAGGTGTGATGATAACTTTAAAATTTAATCTTTCCTAGGATCGAATTTATCCAGAACTGCAGAAGTTCTTGGCAATGTCTGATATGCCTTCTTTGTCTGTTGACAAAGATGCTCAATGGGAAAAGCTGATTGCTAAAGCTGCTTGTATAAGAGATATATGCAGGCAGAGGTAAGCACGAATGTAATCCACCTTATGTCTTTTTAAGTGAAACCAACTTCCCGCCCCCCCCCCCGAAAAGCTGCATAATTATTTTTCCTACTTTGTTGTATTAATTGCAAGTAATATTTTTCTGGCTGTATGAGATACTCACACATTACTTATCTCAGCAACTAGTAAGGTTTAGGGTTCATAATGAAAATAATAGAAAACACATGAAGGTAAAGTTAAATTAAAATCTCTTCATCCTGAAGCAAAGCATCCATCTTGTACTGACCCAGAGTAGAAACTTAAAGGCCTTTCAAATTATAAAAAGAGATCCATGGCAGTGTTCAAGGCAGGTTGGATGAGGCCTTGGGTGATATGGTTTAGAACGAGGTGTCCCTGCCCATGGCAGGGGTGTTGGAACTTGATGATCTTAAGGTCCTTTCCAACCCTAACTATTCTATGATTCTATAATGTTGAAACATTAGAAGGAGCAGCTAATGATCTGTCTTTCTATCCAGAGAAAGATTGGGTGCTTTTCTGGATTTTCCTTCTCAGTCACTTTTTGAATGACGTTATCTTTTGGTATACACAGCATTCTTGGACAAAAACTTCCATTGTTTTGTCACTTTGTGGTGTTCTGTTTGGAACTTTGATGTGTGCTGGTTTAATTCTCCAGGTCACTCAGCCTTTAGAGCTTTCTATCATATCCTCCTTTGTATCTTTTTTTACCTCCCAGTTTTAATCTGGTTTAGTTGCCACTTAAAAGCAACACATAATGAGTTTTTGTGTATAGAATACAACTTCTGTATATGCGTGAATATTGGCTTGTATCTTCATGTTTTTTTCTTTTAGGCCATACCAGCATGGAGCAGACATGTTGGCTGCAATTTCCCAGGTATTAAATGAATGCACAAAACCTGATCAAGCTTCACCTGCTGCCTTAGTGTTACAGGGTCTTCAGGCACTTTGTGAAGCTGAGGTAAGAATTTGGCTTGCTGTTGTGTTTTGCTCTGTTTGTGGATCATGGACTTTTTTCCTAGTTGTCTTTTAAGAGTACTTTGGATTGTGGCAGATTTTTTTATTTTTTTTTCCCCTTCCTTCTGACAAATTTAATTCCTCTCTTCTAAGATCAGTATATTGTTCCTGGGAAATCGTACTGTGAAACTCTACTGCAGCAGGTCAGTCCTTCAGTGCATTGGTTGAAATTTTCAGTCAGCTTTGCAGTCTATTTCAGAGACATCCTTTCATGTATTTTCCATGAGATTTGAAAAGAACAGCTGTTTGGCACATAATTCTGATTGGCTGAAAATTATGTAAAACATCTGATCTTTTGATACCTTCTTACTGGCCTGAGTTAGGAGCCAAGAGTCTTTGTTTCCACAGTGGCGTACCAGATGTGGCGGTACAGACACAGACATGCTGTGAATCCCACTATAGACAAACTGTGGACTATGCAGGCCATCTCAGTTAGTGGACTAATGATAGCCTGCAGAAATATTTACTTACCCATCCTGTCAAACAGCAGTTTTAGGTTTATCCACTTCTTCACTTTTAATGCAGTGTTTACTGCAGTAAGGCCACTCCAACAAAATCCAGCCATTGCCATACGTTTGAAATCATGTCAGCAGTTTAAGAGCAATGTGGTAAATGGTTTAGCAGGCCACAGACATTAGTATTCAATATAGTTAAAAAGCTTCAGACACAGGCTAATAAGAACCAGCTTACTCAGGGTAATCACTGTGTTTGCTTTTGGTGTGGAATTTGGCTTTTCTTAATTTCACATAGATTCTTTGAATGCTGGCCTCAGTATTTAGTATTTAAGCAGTTTAGTGTTTAAGCAGTTGTTTCCCAGGCTGGATTATATTTAGACTTTGTTTTGCAAAGAAGCAGGAGCTAGGCCTATGACAAATGTCAAATCCTACTGTGAAAACCTCATCTGGGAACAGACGTTCTGTACCCCTGTTGAGAAGTGATAGGCTGAGACAGCAATAGCAACTCACAGAGGAAGGAAAGTCCACTTAGTGGACAGGTACCAATTTTTCCTGTCCTAATTCTTACATGTCTCCCTCATCTTGTTTTGCCTCCCCATTTTCAGATCTGCCACCTGGGAATACTTAAACTTTAATGGAGAATTCTCTTGTTGTTTGGTAAAGTAGGTAACCATTTGGGTTAAGTAATGCAGTCTGTCTCTTGTTTAGTAATGAAACTCCAGTCTGCAGTGCAGTAACCTTAAAGGGCATAATCGTAGAGGTTGGCCAGAGGGCTTTGGTTTGATGCTTTCTGTCTCTGCCGTTGTCTTAATAAATAACCATGGGAAAGGGTGCAGCTGCTTAGGTGCAGAATTTTTGTGAGTACCTAATTTTCAGTCAGCTTCTGCACCAGCATAACATACTACGTTTTCATACGTATAGTGTTGACATAGTTGAAAATAGAACCTTATACACCATGGGGCTTTATCAAAGCTGAATTAGGTAAGTTCTGAGAGTCTCAGGAAAGCTTCTTTGTGAAACTAATTCTATAATAAAATGTGCTGTAACATTGTTTTGTTGTTGGTTTGTGTTTGGTTTTTTTTTGTTGTGTTTGGTGGGTTTTGGTTTCGTTTTTTTTTTTGTTGTTGTTGAGCAACATTAAGAATATTAGCTTAGTTTTAACGGGTCTCAGAAGGAGGGCTTCTCTCCCCTCTCTTTTCCTAGTAGCTTTTAATGAATAAGTGCACAGTGACTTGCATGTCAAAAATGTAAAATACACATGGTTCTTGCCAAACCACATTTCCTAATTCTGGGCAAATATTTTGTTGGTTTTTTTCCCAGTAATTTCAATGGAAGCCAGTGAACTTCCTATGAGGACATCTATCCTGGCATTTAATCGATTTCTTGTACCAAGTACTGTATGCAAGTTAAGAAACATTCAAGAACAAAAATTATAAGCATAGTTTTTAGAACCATTTTCCAGGCTTTTTCTGGAAGTGGTTTCTTGCTGTTTATTCCCTCAGTCCGCATTTAATCATTTTATTGACCAGAAAGAAAAGGAACTGAAAAGCTGCCTGAGAACAAATGGTGTTGACTGAGTTTAACCTAAGTAGGAATTACAAAGCTGGTTGCTGTTTAAAACCATAAAACTGTACTTTTACAATGGTGAGTTTGTGTTGAGAAATTTTCAGGTCAGATTTACTCTTCATTTTCTTTTTGCCTTACTTTATATCCTCAGCCTTGTATGTAATTAACATCATAATACCTATTTGAAGTCTTCAGCCAGTAGTGTCGGTGCAATTCCTTAGTTGTGTAGGACTGCTGTTGAAAGGACCTGCCAGGCTTTATATAGGTGAGGGTTTTTCCACATGCTGAATGAGTGAGTAAAATAAGTTGGCTTGGAACCTTGTTGGCCTCTATTCAGTCTGACTCGTCTGGTGAACACCCACTGTCAGAATATTTGCCATTTTACTCACTATCCTGATTACCTGCCACTGCTCCTAAAAATGCTGCTGCTGCTTTTTGGGGGTTTTGTTGTTTTTTTTTTTGTTTGGTTTTTTTTTTTATTCTGGTTTGGTTTGGTTGGTGGTTGGTTGGGTATTTTTTTTTCTCCTTTTCCCCTCCACCCCTATCTGCATTGAAAACTGGTTCCACCTCCACTTTCAAGTCATCTACCAAAATCCATTTCAGTGCACCTTCATCACTGGTGCGATTTCTGTTTTTTGAAAGCTGGAAATGTCAGATTTTGTGGCAATGTAAATGTACTTTTTTCCTTTTGCAAATGCATTATTATATCATCAAGTTATACAATAGTTTGGGTTGAAAGGGACCTTTAAAGGTCATCTAGTCACAAAGTTTCTTCTTCTGCACCTGTCCCTGCACCCATATTCTCCTCATTTTGGAAACATTCACTACAGTGGCAACTTCATTTTTTATCATTTGATTAGGATGTGTGGTATACTAGCGTCGTCCAGGTGGTGCTAATGTTATTTTCTTCTTCCTGTTCCCAAGCTTTCTCATTTTATGTATTTTGACAGTTCATTTAGTTGCTTTCTCAAGGCTAGAAAAGAATTCTAACTTTGTCTTCTGGTTTGCTAATAAGAACCTCTTGGTTGGGAAGCATGCAAATAAACAAGCCTTATTGTAGCAGAAGAAACTGTAATGATTTGAAGGATGCTTTTTATTGTAAAGGCATTCACTGAGGAACTAAACACACAAGCATACACCTGCACTATTTTTAAGTTATTTTTTGATACTTAGAAAACCTTCCCTTTTGCATTCTTGAAGAGCTATAGTTTCCAGAATGCTAGTATTTTTTTGATTTCTGGATGTACCAATGGAATTTTTCAAACATTCCTACCATAACTGCAGAGAATCAGAATTTGCTTGGGACTTTTTTAGGTCTGACACTTGGGTGTTGGATTATTGAACTACGTTTTAATGTTTGAGCTGTCAGCTGTCAAAGACATTTTTACAGGACCATCTGCCTTAGGCTGGCAACTCTATTACAAGTATTCTTCACAAAAGCAGAAACAATCTGGGTGGTGTTGATAAGTTTCTGGATTTCCATCAAATTACAAGCGCTCTTAAAAGATCAGAGACATCATACAGTAGGAGAATTTTAATTAATTAACCGTGCTTAATGGTTCTAAACTGTGATTATCTAATTGAATACCTCTGAACTGAAAATATTATTACTTAAATTATGGTAATGTCTTTATAGTTCTCTGGTTTCACTGAATAAAGAATTTGATGTAGGCTGATGCTTATTTTTGTAACTGCATTGAATTGAATGTGAAATGGGGTTTGAATTCAGAACAGTGTGTTCCCAGTGTGGTTGTGGATCCTATAAATGTGAGCAGTTTCTCAGTGCAAAGTTTTTTAACTAGCTGCCAGAGTGATATGTGCTTTTCTAATCTGAGAAAACACTGGCTGTGGAGAATTCCACATATTGTTAGCTGTGTTGTTTAGCTTCATACACAGCTATTTAATGGGACTGTGGTGGAGATGACACTGTGTCCAGTAGCGGTCCAGAGTGCCACACACTGAGAAGACAGAAGAATACATTAGGTGGAAACATCAATGTTCTGTTATACCGTTAAGACCCTTCAGGCTGCTCATCCTGCCAGCATCTCAAATGTTCTGCAGGACTTGAGCCTTCAATTCTGTGAGTTTACAGCATATATGACTGGAGCTGCACAGTTTTGGATTTCAGGCAGCAGCTGGTACCGTGCATCTGGGATTTTGTCTCAGTGCCTGGCCAGTACCTAAAGACCTGATCCAAAAATGAAGGTTCTTTTTCATACCTTTTTTCCCCCCTTTAGGGCTTTGGATAGTGGCAGTGTTATGAGGAAGGGTCCAGTCTGACACTTCACTGGCAAAGTTGTTTGATGGCTAAAGCACTTTCATTTTTTTGGATCTCCTTTAGTTTTAAAAACAACCCTTAACAAACAATCTCCTTAAATACAAATAAAGAAAGCAGATAAAATGGTGTTCTTTACCTTTTGCTCTCAAGAACAATACAAGAGCAGTGGTGAATGAGGAAACTGAAATATCTGGTTGTGAAAGGCTGAAAGGATCCACAAAAGAAGTATGAATGTAATTTTAACATTTTTTGTTTGATTAACTTCTTTTTCCTAAGGAGTTATTTTCTCAAGTAATGGTATATTTTGGGACTGTATATCATGTTTAGTATACCATGATACTGGCTGAGAGAGTATATTGGCAGTTGCAGTTAAGTAAGACATTTCAGCACATGTTGAGTGTGTTAGAGGCTGGCAAGTCATTGATTACAAAAACAAAACGGTCAAAAGTTGCATATGCTGGCGTATGTATATTGCTGTACTGTAGAATCATCTTTCTGTGAGCAGATGATGCCTATACTCTTCAATAAAATATTTAGCATTTGAAAAGAACATGATGTTTCTTTTAGCTGCTAGAAAAATTTAATTTCTCCTGGACCGCCGCTTATCAAAAGGATATATATCAGTAAATTTAAAATCTGTAATGT